CAAACTTGCTGTCCTCATCGGAAAGAGGAGCAGTGGCATGAGCGGCGTCGATGGCGCGATGAAGAGATGCTTCAACGAGAGCCTCCTTCTTGGTGATGGCGATGTACTCAGCGACTTCTCCGCCGAAAGCCTTGACTGCGTTGTGCAGGTTGGTGTACTTGTTTGCAGCGTCGTTGAGGGTGTGCACGACGTCTTTGACAGGCTCAGGGACCGGAAGGGCGCTGGTGCCGCTGATGACAGCGGTGGCCAGGAGGGAGCTGAAGAGACTCTTAATAGCAACCATCTTGGTAGTTGTCTTTGAACTGGTTGTGTTGATATGGGAGGGAAGAATTTATATTGACTTGGAGAAGCTTGACAGTGAGAATGGAGACAGACGGAGAGAAGAGGAGGACAGAGAAGCAGTGAGGTGAGAAGGGACTATTTATAACTGGTGCATGTGAGGCAGATGAGGCTAATTTCTCACTTAGAGAGCAAGGTGAATATGGGTAAACAAAGATGAGGTAATGGTGTCAACAGTGGATCTGTGAATATGCGTGGAATTTTCCTAGATTGCTTGGAGTAGGATAATTCATGGCATTTTTACAACTGTTAATATCGAGATCAAACATCAGTGGATCACTACATGATGTTCACGCAATACTCCTGATTATAGTAAACTGTGATGCCGTTATTTTGAGATACAGTGAAGCAGGACCTAAATATCAAGTCTCCCCTTCCACTCACTCTGTCTACAAAGCGTGAATAATTACACTGTATACCAACATGAATACCAACCCCTTTGAGTGATAGAGCTGGGTTATAAATAGCCACCGTCAGGCCACTCGTAGACATCTTCCGTTTTCTTTGTTATGCCATTTACCCCTGGTGGATCAGAACGCTCGATTGCTCGAGACACCTGAGCTTCAACAGTCGGAACTGGTTGGGCTTGCTGCTTCGATCCACTTCCTGGAAATTACTGCAAGAGAACTGCAACGAGGAGATGCTACGCAAACACAGCCACGTATGAGCTATTGCTATAGATGAGATCTACAGCCTTCTTTCCGCAATGTAGCATTGGACCTTGCTGATGTGAGCACAGAAAAAAAGCCTCAAGCACAAGGCCATTGCTATCATATTCGAGGATATAACTGACATGGGTGATGAGGTGAAATATTCCATCTTCGGCCAGCGGTATGAAGAGAAACAGTTCCCCTTGTTCAGGTAGTATACTTCCAGTGCCTATGCCTGCGGCACGGATTGCGCACTGGCAATTTGGCAAATACCGGTTTCCCTCTAGGAACGTAAATGATATGCTCCATCCCTGGGGCCGAATTGAAAGCAGTATTGGCATTGGACTGTTCGGGTACCCTAAACCATCTAAAATTTAGGGCCATGTACTCGGAACATGTATCGGTGATCGGATTGACCATTTACCGATTCAAGGCATCGCCCCTCGAATCCACATTATTGTTGGTTGTTGGTTGGCTCAGCATATATGGCTGCGGGTCAACGGGGATCAGCCTTGACCGAATGTAATTGAGTCAGCCTTGGCGAGCGCCTCGATGCATTCGATGCAAATGGGAAAGTACCGGGGCCAATTGGGACATCTGGGACAAGGAGACCCTGTCCGGTTCGAGCTACGCTCCCCGATAACCGTTTCCCCATCGTAGTGGAAGCGGGACAGACTCGCCTTGTTGTGTATAATGGCATTACACAAACACACAGCGCCTGCTGAGACAACCGTGCTTGGCATGGACGGGACGGGACTGTAATGGCGGCCCGGATTGCAGCGATTGCCCTCCATGTGGGGAAAACCAAGATCGGAAAAAGGGAAGAAAAGAAAAGGGCAAGACGGTGTCTATACTGAAGGAGGACACGAGGCTAATAAACATTGTATTTTTCAAGGCTCGAAGACCGAGCAATCATCCTCTTGACGGATGGGCAACCTTGGATTGCGTCCTTGGGGTTTAGGGTGTAGAACAATCTACAAAACTTGGGCTTCCGAAGGCTTGCTCGTCGAACTAGGAAGCCTCGGGTCCAAGTGTCAATTGGCCCCTGCGACCTGGTCGTTAATTTAGTGCCATTCGCGCCACTGAGTTATGGTCATCGAGTACGCACCGCTATTCGAAATTAAGCTGACCAAAGGTAGTGTTGGCCTATTCATGGATAGTCAGGTAACTGGCGGTCTACCGCGAAGTAATCGACGCCGTCTACCGGATTCTTTCATTTATGTTCAGACCCCAGTGGAAAGGATCAAGATGGCATTATGAGAAAGACAACAGACATATCCTGCATAACGCTCACACCACCGTCGGCTTCACCTTGTACTCGGTTCTACGCCATATATCCCGTGTTGCATGCTAGCCCTGATATCTGCGCCGAAGATCCATTTGCGAATTCCCGCCACAGATTCACCATCACATTTATCCGTGGGGTTATCAGCGAGGTCCAGTTTATCTTATTAGAGCAATGCGTGGGATTCTTGCTATGCCATGCCAACGAATATTGACTGCTCCACGAAAACGAGCTCGCGGCAAAGGCCACTTGTTCGTTGTATTGACCGCTGGACAAGCAGCGATGCTCTACTCAAGGCCTCCCCTTGAACCTTCCATTCGTTACTCATTCAATTGAAATTCAGCAATTGGCTATCGACAGCGAAGAAGCCCGTTTGATAGAGCGAAGAAACGAGCCAGCTCAAAGGTCCGTTGTCGTCGTCAGGCATCTGACGCAGAAGGGCAGAAATCCAGATTGCGAGCATTACAAAACTCGCCGATGACGAAGAGCGCGGCGGTCAATACCGCACTGATAGATTTCACGCAGTGTTTGACAGTGCTGATTGCCAGCCAGCCAACCGAGTGTGCCTCATATGATGACCCTTACCTCTCTGAGACTCAGACATGGCGGTGTTGACACTATGGGAAGCCCATTCCCTCCTGTCCATCACATATTTTTGGACGGGCTTTATAAGTACTTCCCCCCAACAAGCCCTACTCATTCGGTTCCTGCCTGAGAAATTTCCGGTAGTTGTGGACGACAAACTACCAATTGCATAGGTAACACTCCGGAACCAATGGCAGGCATTAAAGAGCCCACGGTGACGCCAGTACAGGTGGGCATGGTCACTAATAATTATACATGGGGATAACATGACCATTGCATAGGGATATGAACCTCCCAGCTTGCGTATCACACTTGCGGACAAAATATACGAAATCGTGGACATCCAAGGTGGCGTGCTGAAACGCGAGCACGCCAGTTTCGGCCTAGAATACACCAATGAATGACAGAGATTACAGTGCGCTGTCGATATGTATAACTGGGTTTGGTAAATTGACTGACTCGAATGATAGATTGTTTCCTATCCCTTTACCGTCATTGTGTTCAGATTCCTCGTCTGGATACTCCCCTCCATAGTCTCGTCATCCCTGTAACACAGACAGACGATATTATCAGCGTCTGCAGATCGGACAAAAGCCCGCCAATCGGCCCTTGAAAGGGTACTTCATGGGAGAGCCTCGCAGTGGCGCAGTCAGTTCTTAAAGGGGACAGAAAAGGCTAGGGGACATGGATGCCGTCGATCCTAGCATGCTGGATATCGAAGCCAGACGTGGCAAGTGAAGGAGAAGTCCAATGGAGATGGGAGATCGCGCCGGACCACAATGTAACACAATGCGTTGTCTTCAGGGATTGCCCCAGTTATTACAAGGCAGAACAATTCCTGATATCCCATAGCTCACATATAAGACGAACGCATTGCGCAGAAGACTTTGGAATGCATTACTACCTGCCGCAGAAATTCAGCTGCAATCTGGTCAATCGCAATGCCCAAAATGCACTCTGCTTTTATCCTCCTCGTAGCTCTGGCTGCCACTGCTTCCGTGGAGGCGACCGAAGTCCAAGTCTTCCAACCCGGCCCCACGACCCTTCCTCTGGACGCTGTCGAGGCCAGCGTCGTCGATGCCAATGCTGTCGCCACCGCTCTCGCCATCAAGTGTGAGGGAAACAAATATCCGCCCGACGCTCGCTGCGCCCTCTGCAGCCCTTTCACCATCACCCAGGGCCCATCCACCTACAGCGTGAGCGCAGTCTACTCAGCCTCGGCGGGTGGAGTCGAGGAAACCCACACTGTAGTACAAGACTGCGACATCACATCCTCCACTGAGTTGGCCACATGCACGCTGTCCGCCAAGGTGGAGGTTTCGGTGCTCGGAAGAAAAACCATCACCTCGTCCTCGGCGACGGTTACCCTTCACTCTGGTGACATTTGGTATACGCCTGTGGTGGTGACTGCTGGCGCGGAGAAGTTGACGGCATCTCGAGCGACACAGACACTGTCTGAAACAACGCAGACACGGTCTACAGCGACGCAGACGGCTGGAAATGATGCCGCTGTTGCTGTCAACGCTGCTTCGGGCAATATGGGACTTGGTCAGGCTGCTGTTGCGGCTGTCGCTGCCGCTGCAATTGGGTTCTTGTAAGTAATTCAAGGAGTTAAGACATATACAAAAGCGTGCAGTACACATTGGTTACCTTTGCCTCTGGTCTTTCACACGCTCTGTCGGTAAGCCGTTACGTTGATAGCACCCAGCCATAACCATCTTGGTAAAGTTCTTAGCACCATCTTTATAATGGCAAGATACTTCTTTGTATTCTGCTCCTCTCTTCTACTATCTTCAAGGGCCTTGCACTTTGATGTAATTGTCTTAGGCAGACTGTCTGACAGAATAGTCAGCCCACATCCATAGCAGGGTTGCCAACGCAACAAAGAAGCAGCCAACGTTCCATGCCGTTGCCCAGTCCCCGAACGTAAGCTTCGCAACCACGACCATAACGAAAAGCAAAGTCACAGCTAAAGGTAAGGCAATGTGCTGCGAACTAAGTTCCCAATCCTCTCGGATCCGTATACCACGGAATTGAAGCTCGCTTAATTCAGGGCAATGCAAATCGTCAAATTTCCTCAAGATATCACTGCGTGTTTCAATTAGACTTCTGGTAATTGTAGCCCGTCGGTCTCCACTTACAGGTGGCTATACATAAGCCCCTCTCTGTTAAGGAAGCCGTTTAAAGCAGCAAGACGAGCGTCCGAAAAGAACAGCGTCAATAAGGGCCGCGTATCGAGACGCGAGAGTTCCCGTTGCACGTCATAATACTTCTGCTTAGGGCATTCTTCGTCCTCCATTTTGTCTGAGAGACAGTCGCCCTCGAACCTGACCACTCTGCCTGTCGATGGATTGTATTCGCAAAGGGGGTCTAGTGATCGGTACTTGGCAATGATCTTTTCGAATAGTCTCCTTTGGCCATCCAGATCCTCTGTTCTATACATTCCCATATAAATTGGCTTCATTCTGCGTCCTGACTTCAGCCCAGCGATTGAGATCTTGAAAGATATGTCAGTACCACTAGGAGATAAACTGCACGCTGTTCTGTGACATGACAGACCTCGACAATATCCACCTGCCTAACTCCAAAGAAAGGCAAATATCTTCTCCACTGCCCTCTGTGAGAGTACCATGCTTGGTGGATTTCTTGCCAGACGGCCACCTCATCGGTTGAATTGGCAATATTCACTGGGATAATGTGACAACGGTGCTTTTCACCCCAGCAGAGAAGGACTGAAGCACTTATGCCATCTCCGAGCATCGACTCCAAGGCTTTTCCTAGGTCACTTTTGCGGCCCTCGTGTGACTCTTTTTCACTGACGGGGGACTGAGAACTTGTCTTCGTTCGCTCGGCGCTTTCATGATCAATACGTCTCCTATTTCTGTTACCAGTGGATGTTGTTGAGATATTGCGGCTACTGGAATGGCTGTCCCCTGCTGACGCGGTCAGAAACGTAGGCGCATTTTCCACGAATGCAGAGTGTTGTATATGAGTAGCATTAGAAAGAGGTAATGTAGGTAATTCTGGAGCAAAGAATGATAAGAGTCTATTTATCAATAACCTATCAAGGTAACCATGTTGCCAACTTTCAAAACGTGCATGTCGGTTGGAGCCGTCTCTTGAAGTGTTTTGTTCATCGGCGTCAACACGCCTTGGCCCCATCAAGGCCCGTGGTGGGGGACGGATACTAATCATTTTAAGTCAGGTCAGGGAAGACGTCTGGTATCTCAGGGCCTGAATGAAGGAAGGTATGTCAATATATATCTGGTAACCTAACCACTTCATGTCACCTGTCTAGTCTACATTTGACACGGGGAGTGTACCTTCAAGGATTTTCGGGGTCTGAAGCACCTTTACTGGGGAGCCAACGAATCTATTCATGCAGCATACCTCACAAATAAATTCCTCAGCCTTGTTACATGTCGGTGTGGGCGGCTAATCAGACATTGTAATCCCAAGGCTAGAGAGATTTGTATGTATGTACCTTGGTCTTAGTGAGGGCTAAGTCATCCCAGCGTCCGCCAGCCTTGTCAGAGGAACTCCGTAGAGTCCAGACGAAGATTGATCGACTTGGCCACTTTAAGATGTAAGCGCCCTGGCCCTGTCACAACCATGCTCTGTCGTAATAGAAAAGCTCTTCAGACAGGCGGCCCACAGGTTCAAACAAACCGCGGTCTCCATCTAGAACCCGTATTTTAGAAGCCTAAGGGAGGTCTCGAGTCATTTGTAATGGTCATATATAGCATGGTTGAATCCCAATAGTGCGAAGTAGGGATCAGGACAACAGAGTTATATGGCCGAAAGCACCTCGATTTGTTACCAGGAAAAAGCTTCTGATGGGTCTGTCCCAGTATCAGCAGCCTAGAAAAGACGGTGTTTCATTTATACTGGCAAATTTATTGTTCTCTTGTATGGTAGCCTGCCGACGTCTTCAACAGCTCCTAGAGACCTTATCACCAAGCCCTCAAAACATCACTAATACGCGGGCTAAAAGCATCACATCATTATCTTGGAGGTAAATGTGTTCTTTAAAAAGTGACTGCGTTTCCTATATGGCTTAAGTACAGCCCAGTGGCGGCAAAGACCTGTTTTCCAAACCTTGTGGTACGATATGAGGCTTTGATGATTGAATACTCCGACTATATGGTATTCGATATTTATCACAATAGGTAGTGCCTGCGGTCAATAGTAGCGGAATCCAAAGTCCATTTCGTAGAAATAGTCTGCCTTACGAGGCATCCAAGCACAGCCACTGTAGTCCTAAGCATAGCCCCCCCTTATCTAAAATCACCCATATCAGCCTTCTACATTCCACAGATTCTAAAATAATGTTCCTTCCAAGTTCAATTACACAGCCTCCATCATTCTCGCCATGTCGGTCCCCCTTGGCTTTGATAATATTCTCTTTATTCTGAGGAGCTGTCGTTCAGGATTCCGATCCCTAGCATCCCCCTTCACAGACGAAATCGACGAAACGAACAAGAGCGAACCTAAGAAGGGGTTTGTTGGCTGACCGTTGGATGTTCTACCTTTCTCATTACCACGTATGATTCCTAAAGTCAGGGCCTGTAAGAAGAGTCCCTAGAGAAGCTCCTAGAATCTTATCTCATTCTAACAATTCCAAAGTCTTTAGGTCGGTCTTTAATCAGACTGCAAAGAAATCACACAATGTCATCGACTACTCAGACGCCAGCAACCAAGCACTGACTGGGAGAGCATGCAACAGGCGGAGATATGAGTTGCTTACTCAAGGTCTTTCTTCCTTTGATTTGATAGACTGCGGCCCACAACCTCAGGTATCTATCGGAGAGAGATTCGGGGGTTATTTTACACGTCATTCCTGTTCGTAACCCTGATGTAACATGTGCGCATAGGGAAGCCGATCTACGTTGATTCCGTGATATTTACATGTTTCTAGGTGTCTTCGACATGTGTTCGTGCCAGAGATGGAGGACGAAGGAGACGAGTACACGGTGCGGATTTGTTCGCGGAGTCCATTCTCCTTGATCGGGTATGAGTTTCCTCCATAGTTGCAACCTGCCATTATCGAGTTCCCGGGACGTGCCTTGGATGGAAAAAAGCGCATACCGGAAATTCGCGAAAGGCAATGTTGCATATTAAGGATAATGATGCAAATTTTTAGGCCAGCAATGCTTTTTCCGAACAGCGCGCAAATGATTATTCTATAGGTACAATCTCAGCGATTCCACCTTCATGCTTGATGGAACGCCCAGTGATAGCCGTAGCCTAGTATCAAAGATTTCCAATTTCCCAAATCCCTTGGTAAGGATTTTCGTGGTCCTGAAATTGGAAAAATGGATCACGTGTAACATCCATGAAAGACACATCGCCCGGAAACCCCAAACCCGACCAACCCAACGGTTCCCGTGGTAGTGGTCCTTGACCTGGGCCATTGTCAGCTGCAATCGAGTTTGTACTGCTCCAAGGCTCGGACTGCGAGTTTTCAGAAGCAGCCCGACGTTGGACAGTGCTCGAGCATGGAGGTAGTGCCTGCCCTCCATCGGATGTATCTACGGTCCGCGCGGAATGATGAAAGATCTCGGTTTCCACTGTCGTCTGATCTGGGTGCTTCTGCCCAGGGGGTTGTAAAAGTGACGCATCAAAGAGACCGTCTCCTGGCGAGGCGAATGGAGTCTTGGTAGAATTATAGCAAAGAATGTCCCACATCAATGACGTATCTATTGATAACGTCCTGCGTGGTGAACGGTGATCACCCGAATGTGGACTGACGGCGAATGCTGAGTGGATGAGCCCCTGGACCTTCTGATGCTGTATTAATCTGTTAGCGGACGAGCGAATGCAGTTGATGCAGACTCACAATTGCCTGAACTCGGGGCCATTTGGTGGCCAAGTCACTCAAAAATCTCGTACAAGTATCCAGCTTCCGTTGAGCGGACTCCCTCACAGTGGGATCTGCGGCACGGCAGTAGTAGATGAGAATCGTGGCCGCGATCGCCACGACATGGCCAAGGAACGGGTCAGACAGTTGGTATTCCTTCTCAGTGATCATGTCAATGAGGCGAGCTGTCCATGTTGTGTGGATGAGCGCCAGCTCTGATGATGTCTTCCAGAATGTGTTTGGTACTGCAAGCTGGGCAGACTGCTGAGGTCGCCATGAGTAAAGAAAAGGGTGGTTGAGGACGCTGTGCACTGCATGGTAGGTGAACTGGAGGTATAGCCAGGGACTCCAGTACTCGCGGGCATGGTTTAATTCTTCTGGTGGCCGCTCCTGAAACCTTACTGAATCGTATCGATGGGAGGTGGGAAACTTTGTTTCAATGTCCATCAGGTGAGCCCCAATGATACAATAACCAGAGTCCACCGACCAGGGTGGCGTGGGATCTCCGCTGGCGCAGTGCGAAACATAATGTTGCACTTCGCTCCAAAGTGTGGATAGCTGCACCATGTACACCCAGATGCCCCCTAAGGCACTGTTTTCTTGAGGGGTTTGAGGCGGCTTCATCCCCATTTCCCGCGAAGAGTCAATGTTGACAGCCATGTACTTCGGGTTGTGAATGTCCCGCAGCATATTCAATTGCATGCTGTGAGGAGCGTATTGCTGGTTAAGAAGATGGATGCTCCAAAATACCCTTCGTCGTTCCTCCAATGTAGGCGTATACTCGCCTTCGTGCTGCTCGATGTCAAGACCTGCACATTTGGCGAGGTTTGTGGCAAGGCCAATATGTAACCAAGCGAGATGGGTGTCATTAGCTGAGGACATGTTAGTGAGATATCACTATGTCTATTCAGGAGAGATTCCCACCGATGTATTCAGCAAGTGCAATCAAACAAAGACATTGTAAGGTTGAAAGGTCCACGGTGCCCTGGACAATTCGAAACATGACATAGCTGCGAGCGGCTTCGGCATATTGTCGACACATCCGGTCTGTTCGTCCGTCTAGAAACAGATTGTTCGAGTAGCGCAGCGCAAGGCTGAGTATGCCAAATAGCACCTCGCTGCGACATCTTTCCGGAATGGAAAGACTATCCGGAAGGAAAAGCCATAGAGGTTGCTTGTGGCAGTATTGAAAATATAGAGCAATACCCTCCGCGACGATCTCTTTTGGTGGCATCGCAAAGGGCAAAGTATCTGCATTCTCAAGACCTGTCTCACCACTAGGATTTCCCGGCGTCATGGACATTTCCTGCGACTTGCTTGATTCCGATGTATTCCCACGACTATGGAGCCCGCGCGAACACGCCTTGGGGGTTTCAACATGGTGACTGGTTCTGCATCAATCAGCACTCGCTCTTCTGAATGCTAGAAATGTCGGCCATCCGCACATTGACCCTTCCAATATTGATTCCATCTTCTCTTCAAGCTGTTGCAAACGGTTCTCCTGCTTCGAATTAGTCTGCTCACTCCTCGGTTCGCAGGCAAGCTAGCCGTACCAAGCCCCGGTCGCTGCCTGGGGATCTCTGCGACGAGTCATAATTCCTGCTATACTGGCATGTTTGTTGAAGTCGGGTGCAGCTTGAACATGCCGGCCTCTCGCCCGGACATCGTGTCTTCTTCCGCCTACAGAGAGTCGGCAATCAACGCTTCTTACAAATAACCGTCTCTTCTCCCTCAGACTCACCTACAATTTTCACAGGCTTGATGTGATCTCTTGCTAACACGATTATTCATCAGGAGTACCTGCAGAAGGGCAGAGAAACGGAGGATATTAAGCACGCTGATATGATATGTAATGGCGTAAAGTGCCTTTAAAGCCAAAGGGGCGCGGGGTATCAGCTTCTGCATGATAACACGCGGAGGCTATCCGATCGCCAGTTGGCACCGTCATGACCCACCCAGGGAAACGATACCCAGAAGTGGAAAAGGCTAACAGAACTCTGTTTCCTTATTTCTTATTTCTTCTTTCTTGTTTCTTATTTATTTATTTATTTATTTATTTTCTTTTTTTGAGATCAAGGTAATGTACATGAATAAAGAACCTTGTCCTTCAGGACGGGGCATCACCTGAGTAAATAAACCTGCCCCTACCGTATACCATCATATTCAAAGGGAGTTCTGGGTATAGCAGCTAAAGCACTGGAATCATTCCATCAAATCCAAGTTGTCCAAGCCATCAAATCAGATCACATTGGGCAAATCGAAGCTACCATTCTAGTTCAGCCGTTCCATCGCCTGAGCATGCTAACCCTGAACAAAAAGCGATATCCTCTGCAGTTGCCTGACCTGCTGAATGTTGCCGCGCTGGCCAGATCTCCCTGTTTAGCCTTCGCTCCTCATCCCGGTGACTTCGGAGTAGGGTCCTGACAGTATTTTGAAAGAACAACGGCGCACTCTCCAGGTCAGGGTGAAGCTGACCATTAACAAACACCCCAGCATTCAGGTTCTTCTGGGCAGCATTACAAAGGTGTTTGTCCTCGTCCAGAACCCTCTTGAAGAAGGAGTCAATGTATTCAAAGTCCTCATCCGAGGCCTCTACGTGCCGGTAGACCTCGTATTCCATGGAGCAAGTTGAAGCCGATGTCGGGACGCATCGCATCATGTAGAAGAAATGAGGCCTGGAGTGAATTGATGTATTGATGTCAATGAATGAGGGTTGTCGACAACCCAAAATAAAAAAGAAGTGACTCACGAGACTGTCATGCAGGCATTGGGAAAGTAATAAGTGCTGGCATTCTGGATATCCTCATCCAATTTATCCGGCTTCGGTCGGGAGAAATGCTGAATGTGCCCCGGGGTGGAAACGGTATAGTAATATGACAGATCTGCCAGGTTCGCCACGTCGGGATGCGCAACAGTGCAATGGTAGCATTCATTGTAGTTGTCCGCCAATGTTTTCCAGTTATAGTCGCCGTTCATCTGCCATGTATGGTCAAACTTGTACTGGGCAAAGTCGAACCTCTGGAATCGTTCTTGTCGGTCGACACCGTAGAAGTCTTCTTCCCAGGGGACTGGATCGGGAGAAGAGTCAAGGTTGACCCAGATGAAACCCAGTGCGTCAGTATGCACATGAACAGGGTACAAGCTCTGACTCTCTTTCTGGAACCCCGGGACGTCATCAAACTTGGGGGCTTTGGCCAGCTTCCCATTGAGGCCGTACGACCATCCATGATATTTGCACGAAAGAATCTTGACGTTGCCCCCGTCCTCCGAAATGAGTGGAAACGCACGATGGCGGCAAATATTGTGGAAGCCATTCAAATTACCTTCTCGATCAAGGCACAACACAAAGGAGAATCCAGCTTCCTCAAACCGAAGGAAGTCACCGGGCTTTGTGAAGCGCAATTTGTGCGTAACCAGTATCCATTTATTTGAAAAGATAGCTCTTCGCTCCAACTGATATATCTCTTGGGAGTGGTACCAGGAGGCTGGGAGGGCTTTGGGTGGTTCATCTGGAAGCTTTTTGTCTCCTGGGACGGAGGGCTTGTACCCAAACCAAGACGCAAGTGTAGCAGCCATAGTTATAGTCGAATGTTTGCAGGCAACTCAACAGGAAAGGTGTCTACCCATATTCAGTCATGACATAATATATATGTCTTCACAGGTCGTGCCCTGAATCCATCGAAGGCCCCGGTCACGCGACCACATAATGGAAACATGATGGCAGTTCTGGCTCGGCATTGAGACAACGGAGAGCGCGCCGTGTTATCGCAAAATTCAAAATCTCCGTTATTTGGACATTGCCATCGATGGGTACTACGGACTGGTTCGTGGTCATAGGTTCAGCCGGTCCGTCGGCGTTGACCCCGATCACGGGATCGGATATTAGGAGTTGGGCTTCCCTGCATATCTTCTAGTAGAGGAGATTAAGGAGATTAGTGTGAAGAAGCGATATGATGCAATTGAGATTACCCTCCAGTACTTACTGGCCATCAAAGGATGCTTCTTGAGATAACGGGGGATATCTCGGTTGCAAATCATTCACATTTCTGGAGCACACTTCTCTACAACAATACACGATAAGCATTAGCCTCCTTTTGAGCTCCAATCGAGCTGCGTGACAGGCTCTTGACCTCCCAAGGGCCCGTGCATGTTCGTCAGCCGCCAACTTTCCCCTCGGCTGGTGCAATGTATGAGATATGTGGCCGTGCGGTGTTGGATCTATATGTACAGTTGGCGGATTCTAATTTGGACAGGAACCCTGCGGAGAGCTCTGCTCGGGACTTGCTACGGCTACAGCCTTTAGTGATTGAGCTTGCTAATGGCTGTATGAACACGGAGTCCTCCGATCAGGTGCACCGCAAAAGGAGGTGTGTCACTTATAAGGAGTTATTATTACTTCAAAACCACATGACACGCTTCCCTTCAACAAAGCCCCTGCTCGTGTTTCCGGTTCACAGCTCACTACACCATGGGATCAATCAACGCTTCCGAGAATCCCTCAAAATTTATTTTGACAGCTGAGGCTCTAAACAATGCGCTGTCTGAAATGCATATGGCCACAAGAGCCATCCATGCCGATGATTTCGTCAGCCCGCACCGGGCCATTGCCCCTGGCATGCATACCGCGGTAAACTTCCGCTATGCACGCGATCCAGATGAGCTGGTGCCAGAAGAGAATAAGGATGTAAGAGCTCTAGCTTTCTTTTCTTCCCGTGTTTGTCCCGACCTAACGGGGCCGGCAGCCAAATGCGCCTTATGATTCCCACATATATTCCCGCTACACAGCACCCAACTCCAATCGCTTGGAGATCTTGCTACGCAGCCTCATGGGCGGCGAAGCGATCACGTACTCGACCGGGCTGTCGGCCTTTCACGCGATGCTTATCCTCCTCAACCCCAAGCGAATCTTCATTGGCGACGGATACCATGGATGCCATAGTGTTGTGGACATTATCAAGCGACTGACAGGCATCCAAAAACTGGATCTGACACAGATCGACCAAGCCGGTCCGGGGGATATCATCCACGTGGAAACACCACTCAACCCGACCGGCGAGGCGCGCAACCTTGCATATTATCGTGCCAAAGCCAGCGAGAAGGGGGCCTACCTGACCGTGGACTCCACCTTTGCTCCGCCCCCGCTACAGAACCCCTTGGACTTTGGGGCTGACATTGTCATGCACAGTGGAACTAAGTATGTGGGTGGCCACTCCGATATGCTTTGTGGGATCTTGGTCGTCCATCCAGATCGAGTTAAGGAAGGATGGTTGAAAACGCTCCGGACAGATCGCCAATACATCGGGAGCGTTATGGGGAGCTTCGAGGGCTGGTTGGGGATCCGGTCCGCTCGCACCATGCAGCTTCGCGTAACGAGACAGGCTCAGACGGCGGAAAAGCTCGCTGCGTGGCTACAGGAGCAGCTGAAAGTGGCAGCGTCTCCTGTTGCAAAGATTCTGACCCATGTCCAACACGCATCGCTGCAGAAAGATGACTTGAAGGATGGATGGCTCCAGAAGCAGATGCCTGGAGGCTTTGGTCCCGTTTTCGCCGTTTCGACGAAGAACCGGGAGCATGCACGTCGGCTGCCTAGTAGGATGTTTGTCTTCCAGCACGCAACTAGTCTTGGAGGGGTGGAAAGTCTGATGGAGTGGCGGGCGATGAGTGATGCGCGATGCGACCACAGGTTGTTGCGGATCAGTTGCGGCATTGAAGAGTTTGACGATTTAAAGGCTGATATCCTGCAAGGGTTGGAATCGCTGTTACGGGATTTTCCTTAAGATAGATTACATCTTTATCCATCTGAATAAATTCGGTTACTCTATTATACGAAGCTGAGAGACAAGCCAGAAAAGTAGACTGATACTCGGTTCTTAAGATCGCAGTACAATTTACTTCAAAATTCAAGCAATAAAAAGCAGTGAACACCAACACCATAGCTCTACTGACTCTCTCTCATCGGATGGCATATTGATATCCGATCAAGTGACCGGGGAGAGAGTGCGGGGAGCGGAGAAGTGCCCGATCACCTGAGCGTATCTATGACGGGGCTCGGATTCAGCACCGACTGCAAGTGACCAAGATCCAGAGTCTTTTTTTATTCCCCCGTTTATGTAAAAGTTCATTTCTTTTGATAATAATATCACATAGTAATCAGAAGGTAATCTAACATATCTCCTCACAGTAGATGAGTCACGTGGACGGGCCGATATGCAAGCATCTCTGGTCAAGAGGGGATCATGTAAACCATAAAGGCGGGGCCAACTCAAGATGTAGAGGTGTCATTACATATCTTTATGGCAGCTACACAGAAAATGGAACATTTCGACGTCGCAGTTGTCGGACTCGGGGTCCTGGGAAGCGGAGCGGCGTACTATGCTGCCAAAAAGGGCGCCAAAGTGATTGCATTCGAGCAGTTCGAGCTGGGCCATGTGCGCGGCGCTTCCCATGATACTTCGCGTATTGTCCGCACTTCGAACTTTGCCCCAGAATATGTGGCCTTGGCCAAATCGGCCTACAAGGACTGGGCCGAGCTGGAAAAAGTTACCGGCTACGAGATGTTGACGACCACTGGTGGCGTGGTCTTCTTCGCTCCGGATTCCCCGACATCAGCCAGCGACTTTGCGAGAAGTCTCGATACTCACAGTGTTCCATATGAGCTGCTGGACGCCCAGGAGGTGAAGAGGCGATGGCCTCAGTTCAATCTCCCCGATAACGTGTCTACAGTGTACACAGCCGACTCGGGTATCGCCCATGCTGCAAAGACTGTCAGCACTCTGCAATCACTGGCGCGTTCCCACGGCGCCATTTTGAAGGACAACACCCCGGTGGACCGCGTTACACCCGTGGCCTCCGGCGGGGTCGTAATCGCGACTCCAAAGGGACAATTCCGAGCAGGCAAGGTGATCCTCGCAACGGACGCATGGATCAATAAGCTTCTCGCTCCCCTATCCGTACACATACCCATAACCGTGATGCAGGAGCAAGTGACATACTTCAAGCCCACCGACGCAGCTGGATTTGAGCCCGACCGATTCCCCGTCTGGATCTGGCACGGGGCCAATTGCTTCTACGGATTCCCGTGCTACGGCGAGCCGACCGTCAAGGCCGGCCGGGATTATTCCAACAATCTCATGACGCCGGAGCAACGCACGTTCGTGCATTCGCCGCAACTGCTTGAACAGCTGACATCATTTATGAATGGCTTCATTCCCGACAAGGATCGCCAACCGCTTCGCACCATTACTTGTCAGTATACGATCACGCCTGACCGACGCTTCATCATCAGCCCGCTGGAGAACTACCCCGATATCATTGTTGGCTTGGGTGCTGCGCATGCGTTTAAGTTTGCCCCTGCATTCGGTCGTGTGCTGGCGGAGCTGGCAGTCGATGGCTGGACGAATGAGGATATTTCGCAGTGGCGGATTCCGAAAGGCGCTACTCGGAACGGCAAGCTTTGATGACATGACGAAAATCTGGCTAATCACTGATCGTCATGCTTTCGCTTGATTGTTGTGGAGTGGAATCAAACTACCCTGGAGCCCAATATTGCATTCCATTGTTCTAGACCAGTGGTTTGGAAGGCCTAGTCCTTACATGGATAAATCCCGTTCAGCTTGTTAGCTTGGCGCTGGAAGCTCAGCTGCATGGTTCGCTCAGGAAAGAACAAGCTCTATATATGGACTGATCAATATTGGCACTAGCCCTCATAAATTATATCTATCAATTACGGATCCATTCCCGAGCGCCCTGCACGTTACTCTAGGGAACATGGTTAAATCCCTCCGTGAAGGCTTCTGCACCCTCCATGAAAGGAGGAGCTGTATACGAACAAATATAAGGGAGCTCTGTCCTATAAGGTGCCGCAACTGTAGGAACCCTGAGCATTCTCTTCCGTAAGCAAAGGGACATATCAACGTATCCTATTCTAATGGATACGAGCAGGTCCTGTGTCCGTTTGGAGCGCCAGATGACTTGGTGCGATATATTCTATGTATGATCACAGTAACATTTTATTCAGCCTCCAAGCCCTCAACCTCCTCCGGTATAGGTATCAACAAAATAACACCAGCTGGACTAGCACAACTTCAGGAAAATGTCCCTTGAATATCCATAGATTCTTCATTCTATGTAAAATGGACTGCATCTGTCCATATTGATCCGCGTTCAGGTTGTTGTCCAGAATGCATGCAGAGCCACGGGGAGCCAGCACCGGACCACTGGCTGCTTCGCCGTCGATAAAGGCTCCTGTGAATCGAATGGGGTTGCTCTCAGCTCGAGAAAATCCAGTGGCATGACCCATACGGATTAAGAACCAATTGATTGCAGTTGCTCTTGGTGTGAGGCCTCAAGCGGCGCGGAGGTGGAGATAATCTGGGACTGCGGGGTAGCCGTCATGGAGATGGTAGTTGGGAGAGAGAGGTGGGATAGACCAAGACATTGTTTGATTCTTGATTGCTCATTTGTGTTGAATTTCACGGTGACTGAATCTTATGGCATGGGTCGGGAACAGATATCATAGGAGGCATCCCATACCTATAAAAGATAACCTTAAATCAACAATAATCAATCTTACTATCACTCGATTCAACGTCAATACCCATGGGCCATGGGTACCCGCAAACCCGCCACGAACCCAAACCTTAATATATTACGGTAATACGCGATCTTAGATGTTAATATGTGCAGATATAATCAGTGCAAATATTAACTACCTTCTGTTTATTTGCCAGCCAGCAGTTTTTCCGTCGAGGGACGCGGTTTGGCGAGCTTTAGTCCGGATTGTGGAACTGTCTTAGGATGCACGTGACGCGATACGAGGCCACAGCCCGCCATAACGTTGGCAAGGTGGGAACAACTCAACATTAGTCTCTGTGGATAGCCTTGACGTGGTCGAATATGGCTTCTCTGGCAGAATTGACCCTTTTAGATTTACCGAGCGAGATCCTGTTGCTGATATTTCACGAAACTGCGACAATCCAGGATGCTTGCGCCCTTGCTCGGACGTGCTCACAGCTTCACGGACTGTTTTCACCCATCAACAATAAGATCAATATTCTTCGGTCAGCGGCCAATGTTCCCAAGCGGCCAAAGTGTGATTCTAGGGAAGGCTTACCTGGTATGATGGCCCGCAAAAAGCCACTGATTCTTACTAGCTAATATAGGTGGTAGCAGTCCTTCGAATACCGCCCCTTAGCTGGGCGTTTCGAAGCAGCCGAAATCCTAAATGCGGCCTGCTGCTGGAAATGGATTACGGTCCACTATCAGAGGAAGTGTGGGCTTCAACGATGTGGGACCTGGGAATAATACAGAGGCGCCAGTCCGAGAGCTGTATGTTTAATGAAGCATTGCATGATTTTCTTTCCCAGTTCCAAGAACTACGACGCTTGAGCGGATGCTATGAACCTGCCACCGTGAATATCCTGGCAAGCGCCGCAAGATTGCAGCTGGAGATTCTCCACCGTTCCGAGCCATCATTTGTTCCTGTCGACCTTTCGAGCGAGATGACGGTTATTGCGCTGGCCCTTCACCTACTTCTTGTTGTACGGGATTTCAATTTTATGGATGACTCTACATTCCGCTGCACCGAGGAGGAAATATTTGCAGAAGGCTCTCTGGTCACCATAATTGGTGGCTATGAGATCGGCACGCTTGTTCCTTCTGTGCGGATACACAAGAAAAATGAGCAAGAATGGACAGATATATGCCTGGCCGAGACAAGTCAAAAGCCGAGCAATAGTCTCGATGCCAGTCCGAGTGTGATGATGGAGTATATCATTCAGTCGTCGTTTCGGCTCTTAGATGCTCATGATCCCCGCCATTGGCCGACGGTACTGTTTGTACTTTTGATCCTTTATCTCTGCTTGCTTGACATGTTACCAGATACCCCCTGGATGTCAGCACTCGAAGACGCATCTGAGCCGGTATTGCCCTTTCTCAAAGACCTTGTCCGATATTACTATATTTCCACAGACGGTGGGGTGTTAATGAGCGACTCCTGGGCTGAAGAGGATTTTGCGGCTCGAGTTGGTCATCATGAAGAAACTATCAAATACGCTCGCATGTTGAATGAGCTCTGGCTCGAAACAGGTAGATTGCAGCTCACGGTTCAACAGTCTCATGCTAACGACTACAGATCGCGGAGATTGGGCTAGCAGAGATATCAATCAGGGTATAGACGGATTTCCTGACAAACTGAATTACTTTGCCTTCGGCTGCGTAACTTAGGTCTCCAGCTGACTGCTGTTCTTGGGCCGTCAACAAAAGTTAATCTGTCGGAGAAATCCCTGTTCAGAGACAGATATACCGGCCTGCAAGTAATTTCATGTGGATTACCCAAGTTACCTGAGGGTAATACATCCTTATACATGGATACCAGCGAATTCTACCACACCTCTTCAACTTTAAACTGCGTCCACCCAGCATCCCTGGTCTTCCGAAAATTCAACACTCCATCAAATCCATCTTAATCACAGCTAAATGCTATCTCACGCCACAACCACTATATCTTCTACCTCATCCACAAATCTCACCTCCGGCCTACTAACGATAGACCCTCTAGTTACTGGTTAGCTGGCATTGTCGGGCAACATCACACGACAGAATTTATGGGTGGATTGATGATTTCATCTACCGTGCAGTTGACTTTACACTAGACCAAAAAGGGGGGTCAGAGTGAAGGAAGATCTAAGGAACATCAAAACAAGCACCGCATAGAGATTGTTGAGACTTAATTTGTGACCGTGGGTGTCTAATTTAAAATTAAGGTCTCTTCAAACCCTCTATCATCTTTGAGCGAGGACCTCTGTGGTGGAAATTAGGGGCCAGAGAGGCCTTTCGTCTTGGATGACGCGTTAAAGACGTGTTTTTTTAGTCGGGGGATTGATGAGTTATATCTAGCTTAACTAAGCCATTGTTTGATGTGGCTGATTGTGACATCCTGAGATGCGCTGGGATAGAGATCCTCGGTGCTGGTAAGGAGATGTTTTATTCTCTTAAATCGATTGTTGCAGGCTGCATATAGCCTAAGGATTTCAGATTCATGTGACTGATAAGTGTTGCGCAGTTTCTCTAACTCACAGATCTTGCTGAGAGTCAGTGATTGAATGGTCTGGGAGAGGGCGGTGTTGGAGGCCATACTAAAATTGCGTGATGAGATGATGGTTTCGTTGAAGCCATTGCGATTCGAAATTCCAGTAGCCTTAAGTAAGGTCTGGAGGCTCGGTGTTTGAGTCACTTTGGGCCCTTTGCTGTCGGTGTTTGCCTTAAGTACTCCGTAATAGAGTGTAGTTCAAATGTTTGTATTCATCGGACGTCTAAGCCTTAACAAGGCACAATGTCACATGAGTATATGGTCCAATCACATGACTTATCAGCACTTCTCGAAATAAAGCTTGAAAGTTGGAACTCAGACCCCTTGTAGGAAATTCTTCCTCTTAATTATCTCCAAGATCTTCAAGGAACCCCTTTCTGCCATGGCGTTTGATGCCTCAGCGCCTAATGGCCGGACAAAATCTTTGATTAATATTGAAAATGACCCTAGAATTATTGTCTGGACTAAGCTCCAAGTGCCCCCTGGGGAGGAGCTGGATACTAATCATTGGGCCGCATATTTTCAGCCACTGGTTCACGCTGTAGGCCACGATACTACAGTGTGGGCCAGAGTGCAGGAGAGTCCGAACATCATCATTCTAGCAACATGTACTCATCCCATAAGTAGTCCAATTACTCATACGTATACTAACTAGTGCTTATAGTATGGTACACTACCTCAGAATTAAGGGATTTCATGGCGTCCCCTTCCGCCCAGCTATACAGAGAGAGTCTTGCCAGTGGAGCAATAGTACCCCTGATCTCTTTTGAGACCATTTATGGTAGTGCAAGATGGTTTAACTCGTTAGCTCGATCATTCACGCAATTGTTCTGGGTCTACTTTCCGGCACCTATGACACAAGCCCAAAAGGCTGAGATTTCCGAGCTAAGGGGGATTCGCCCACCTGCCATGGGATTTAGTATTCCACAGAGTCAGGTAAAGCAAAGGCATCTTCCTGTTCAGTTATGGGCGACCCAGACAGAATACTTGCATGGACAAGAAGCCCAATTAATGATGTGGCCGCATTCCTGGAGGGATGCAGAGAAGGCTGAGTTTAGATTTCTAGGAACAGGTTACGGGACTGTGATGGAGAGATTCATTGAGGAGCTGGATGAAGTCGGCCCCATAGAATGGAAAGAAGTGTTCTATGAATTTAAGAGACTGCCTCGTCTTTGAATCCTATTAGTCCTCTCAATCCTTTTCTTACTTTGTCTGAAGTTGTATATCCAAGATTATATGGCGATCACTCCTTATTTTGACTTCTTCTCCCCCTCAGAAAACTCCTTTGGTACTCCTTTTCTTATTGCCTGTTACTAGATCGCGACTAATTCAGCAATACCGGTGTGGAAGCTTCATCTCTCATTTGCCTTGGAGCTCCACTACGTCTGCTGGAAGTACCAGTAGCCTACACAGAAGTACACATATGACTCAGGGTTGCGGCGAATGAGCTGCGCGTTGGTTTCGTCATAATCCCTAGGTACAGTTGTGGGATTTTGAGCATGTCTTGCTGCTTGGTCCAGGTGTCTTTAGGAGCTATTAGCTAGGAGTGGGATTCGGTTAGATGCGAACTCTCTATGAATTACATGCTGTAGCAGGAGTCTCATCATTGCCCAATAGGAGATGGAACAGTTCATGGTAGAGGCTTGCGCTTCGTGGGAGGACTTTCATAATCGATAGGCGTGCCTTGGATGTTGCTGACCCGAGCCCATCCAAACCTCTGTTTGTGAAGATAGAAGGGCACGACGTGATCGTTTTGGTGTTGGTTTGCTGCTGTGTGGCTCCTAGGATTGTTTTGGACTGAGTGCAGTAAGACTTACTCCTGTAGCCTTTATCAAAGATGTACTCCAACAAGGCATCTGACCAATAAGAAACAAGCTTATTCCTTACTAGCAAGCCGTTCTTTTGCTCCCAGAGGTAATCCTGGTATTGCGGGACCTCCTCGATCTTCATAGGAACCGTAGATCCATCCAGATTTACCTTTATAATTGTCTTACCCCTACTGGTGTCCCAGGCCGCATCTGACCGCGATAGCTTTTGGAGCCATTTGTCATTGCAGTATAAATGAGGCGTCCTAGCCAATATTGTTGATGTCCCATGTAGGAAGCGCTTCACTTGTAATAGATAGTCTGCAAGGTAGTTAGAAGTCTGGTGGGTGGAGGTGGCTCAGTGACCTGGGATCTCACTATTTACCCAAGCCACTGCGACAGGGCCGTCAGTGATCCTAAAATAACACTTGAGATACCGTCTGGCGACATTATAGTCTGCTGCGGAGAGATTCTGTGAATTTACATTATTTTGATTACTTATTATATTTAAGAATAAGATGGTTCTTGTTAGTTATCAGTATAGTATTAAAATATTAGTCAAGAGCTATAGTAAGAGGATGAGGGTACTCTAAGCTTACTTATTATTCTTAGTACGCCCTTCCTTAGCTGTACTTACAGCATCAAACTTACAATGCCTGGGCCGGGGCGACGCGGGAGCCATAGACGCACTAGTGACTACCATCACTGGTAAGGCGTACCGACCCAAAGTGAAAGGGCCTTTCAAGCCATGAAACAGGTGGCGACGACATGCGCTGCAGCGAGTATCCCGTTTCAAAAAGACCGCATGACTGTGTGTGTGTGTATTTTGACGCGCACATCAATCAAAGTGTTGGCTGAAGCCGGCTACAACAGCTTCGGGCTCTTCATAATTTACAATCAATGATGCGTCATCACTGCCTATCAGGTAACGGGTGATATCAAACTGCCAGCTATTGTAATTACTTCCTCATAATAACCCGATTCTCTGTGCCCGAGAGGTTGGGGACCTCCGGGCCAAGGATCGGGGGGGTATTGGGGGCGGCCGAACCTTAATTTGCATCTACTTGGCGTTGGCCCTGCCTGCTTGGCGAGGGCATGGGCCCCAGGGCCCACAGCCACAGCCGCCGAACAGTAAGTATAATGAACATATTCTCTAATAAGCCAAAGTAAATGCAGACTATCCCGCCCTAGATTTAGGCTTGTGGAGAGGGTTAAGGTTGTCTTTCACCTTCTGTAGCCTGGCACTGGCATTGGATCTTCCATGACCCCGTTAAGCTTGTGCTTTAATCCCCAGCTCAGTCCTCATTCATCAAGCCAATCGATGTTACGCTTATTCACCAGTGTGTCATTATCCTGGGCGTCCGGATGGGCATCTCGCTGTTGGGTGGGGGGCGGAACCTTCAGCCAATCAAACTTGGGTTGAGCCTTTGCTTTCATCTTGTCGCCTGTCCAACGGCTCATGGATGACGGTTCGCTGCCTATCTCAACAGGCTCCTTGTCTTTGGTCTTCTTGGTAGTTTTCTCGACATCGTTGCCATCGGATTTGGGTTTGGATGTTTCACGTTCAAAGGGTCGCCGTTCACGATGTGCAAATTCTAGGGGTCTTCTTTGCTTCTTTGGGAATTGCTGGACGTCGCCTTCGGATACCCTTCTTGGACCGTCGACGAAAACCTCCTGCGATGTGTCGGCGCGAATAACCTCCTCTGTGAGCCTGTTCACCAGGCCGACGTTTAGCTCGCTAGCTTCTTCTCTGGGCGCGTTGTTGACTGGGCTAGTGAGATCTATAATATCTGTTTCTGCAAACTGGTCCTCCAACCCGGTGATTTGCTGACTGTCATCTCCCCCGACCTCGTCGTCAACCTGGGTAGTGAGGTCCATAAAATTATTTTCTCTATTGGAAATGTCGTTCCCGGCGTTGTTGGCTATCAAGTTACCGTTACCTTTCAAGTAAAGAACATTAGTCAAATCCCCAAAAGCATAGAGTATTAAGATCTACATACCATCGAGGAGACCGCCAAAGAACTCGAGTTCAGGGCCAGCGCTGGGTTGTTCAAGATTGCCAAAGCCACGCATTGTGATTCCGCGGTCCCTCAGCTGTAGCGATGTCAGAACGAAGTTTGTCTTTTTGTTCAATGAGGGCATTGTGTGTACCTTTTCTGCTGTCTTTTCCCATGTCATAGGGCGGTTTGGATTGGCTGGTTGGTCCTTTTCTCGGAGTAGTATCAGCATGCTGTATTACTTTGACAATTAAGGCGGGATTTGGGCAGGAATACCTGGATGTCCTTTAACCTATTGTCCATCTTTCTTCGTACTGCTTCAGTTGCGCCGTCGAAAAAGCTCCTCAGCTTCTCACGGTCTTCTATTTTCTTCCAGGAGCTGGGCAGGTCGAATGTATTGATATCGGTCCCGTAAATATTTTTCATGAACAGTAGCATTTCCCTAAAGACTTCCCGCGCGTATTTCACGGCGATCTCCTCGTCGTCGATTTCCTTGATGGTCGATATTTCGTTTGGATCGGCTGAGTGATACGCTTGTCTGTATCGTTCCAGAAGATGGCACCCAGGGGCACATGCTCTCAAGCACGAGTCCCACAAGTCGGGTATTGCCCTCGCGGCCATTCCTATCACCTGTCATGAGAGGCACTTAGATTAGTAGGACGTGTGTACAGAATGGAGTCCAATCTTACATTATCCGGTACATCTTTGGGGACGCGCTGGAAGGAGAAAAACCAAATAGCTAGATTAGCCTGATGTTCAGCGCAGCAGGTAGGGGGAATCACGCACATCTCCCGGTATGCCGTCCTTTGGCTGGTGCCATGATCTGAGATATCTCTGAGGCTTATTAGCACCATGTCCTCAATGAAGCAACATATACATGGCAGTCTCACGTTGTGACCAGGTTTCGGCGGGCATCCCACAATCGGCATGTGGTTCTCGAAATTGCGAAACCACAGGTTGACGAGTCGTTCCACGCACATGGGATACTTTTCTGTGGGTTGCTCAAGCAAACTCACGTATTGGAAAATCCAATCAAGAAGGTCAACCGGCCCATCAACTGGATTATGCGGGTCACCGAAGAAGATATCGGGGCGTTCGGCGTAGTGGAAGACAGCACCGTCGACTTTCTCATCCGGCAACGAGGGAATGCGCAGATATCGAATTCGCACCCGATCGCAGCCCTGCATGGCTTTGTATTGGCTCGACGTGGGGTTACCAGTCTGACTGTGGGCTGTAAACCGGGTGAATTCGCTCAGTTGGATGTTTGTCCCGCTGAGCACAAAGGGAGCGCCCACGGGCAAAGTCTCAATCTTTTTGTCGTACCCTCGGTTTGTGGTCGTGTCCAGATACAATGGCGAGAGTAGAGTACTGGTGCGGTGCAACGGGGACAGATCGTTCCACAGCCAGTTATTCTTGACAAACCCCTCGGCCTCGAAGATGTACCGACGGATTCCCCTCTGGAAAAGACGAAACTCGAGGTATGGAGGCGGGCGAAGAGCGTACAACCGGAATCGGTGGTCCTTGCCTTTATCACCAGCAGCTGCGTAGTGTGCGTGGAGTGTCTTGAGCACCTCCGGATCTGTGATATCATTAGCCCTCTAGAGGATAAACGCGCGGTATAGTAGTATACTGCGTACCGGCATGCCAGTAATAAGAGCCAGCAGACACCACGCAGCACTCCGGTTTCAGTGTATTGAGGAGCTCCGGCGGTGTTGACCCACGCGAGCCGTGATGCGACAGCTTCAGGACCTTGATGGCACCAAGGCTGCCCCATTTATTCAAGGCCAGTTCGCGCTCGATTGACGCAACGGCATCGCCCATCCACAGGGTGGAAACGCGGCGGCGACCCTCTTCAACCCAGACGACGCCAGCAATGATCGAAGTTAGATTCTGCAACGATTGCTTCAGTAGTTTCGCCTTGGGCTCATTATCGGCGCCTGTTTGACCAGCCTGTGCTTCCTCTTCCTCCTCGCTCTCTGCTGCCGCATCGTCGCCTTCATCATCGTCCTTATCTCCGGTGCTTCTGCGTGCGGGTCTGTTGGATGTCTCCTGTAACTGAGTTTTGGGATTTCTATTGGCTTCTTCGAATAACTTTTCAAGATTAGGTTTTTTCTTATCGCCGAGAAACATGCCCGCAATTCCCAGGCAGATTAGTCGAGGCTGTGTGGACGGAGTGAGGCGAGCCAAAGCAGCATCCATCTTTACACCTTGCTGTTGGTCCGCTATCCATTCTAGGTTGGCATCCCGCACACCAGTAAAGAAGTCCACGCCGAGAATTGAATGGGGCCGCAAGTCGAGTTTCTCACTTCCAGTAGATTCCCAGTACCCTGAAAGCCAGAACATGGGCACCTTTGTGCTTGCATGCTGTAATCGTACATGAGTCCCGTCACGCAGCGTTCCGAGACAGTAGCCATCCATATCGCCGGCTAGGAACTCCTCATGATGGCCTTTCATCTCGAGACCGGGTTCTAGACACGCCTAATTTAGCTTGACCGACTGACGGCGAAAGGAAGAAAAAAAGAGAACAGGACACATACTCTTCTTAGGCTCCCAGTTCGGACAATAAAGCGCAGTATAGGGCTGCCGGTCCCCGTCATTTGAACTCGTTTGGGCTGTCCAACACCGCGAATCCGCTTGATGGAAACGGTCCACAAAGTACTGCATGGCACCGATATAATGGTCCTCATCCCAATGAGTGATGACCCAGGCGTCAAATCGCAGCCTCGTTATCTCTCCAGGGACATCATAGCGAGTGCTCAACTCATACATGTTCGAGATGTCAAGCATTGCCAACTCAATCGCTCGGCACGCCTTGTTCCCACCAGCATGGCTCATGCAGCCATCATTCCCACCGTCAATCAATACGGCCCGTTCCACGACTGGTTTGTTCCGCGTACCCCGCTGCAGCAACAGGTGGATTGAACACTCGCCGTTCGGTACCCCGACCTGTATTGTTTCGACGTAGAACGCATCGCTCTTCATATTCTTGATATAATTCTCGGCAACTTCTAGCATGCTCGTCTCATTTTTCACCACAGTCTCGAAGCCCTGGGCGGATAGCATGGCCTCGTAGGGTTCCATTTTCTGGATAGGATAACTGCCAGTAAGCAACGCACTCATGGAGAGATTGGGCCGCCTACCAGCGTTGTGGCAAGCTTCAGGACATGGTCCACGGCGGCATCGTAAAAGAATGACGATTGCTTGCCGTATGCGGCCCTTTGGGCGTTTGCGTTTGCGTTTGCGTTTGCTGTCTGATGGCGACCGCGATCCTGGCCATTGTCCTCCTCGTCCATTGTTATTTTGCACAGATTACATGTTGACGAATACCTCACAAGGTCGGCGAGCGATTATTGTAGGAAGTTCTGCATTTCCTTCCCCACTACGACGCCGCGGCCGTCGCTTGGAATTGCTCGGTTTGAACTCCCCTCTGGCCTAGGGGTCCCCTCTGGAGAACTGGCCAGATTTCCATCGCTCTCCTTCAGCTGAAGCCTTCAGCTGATCAGCTGATCGAGCGGACAGTCCATCGGTATCTTGATCGGGTATTCTTTCCTCAGCATGACTTTTCATTCCCGCCACTAATGCAGGAGACACGCGCAGCCTCGCTTTGAATGCCTTTGTCCGAACCGGTGGCGCGGCGCGCATGACTTGACAGCCACTGCTGAAAAGCAATAGCACGAACGACTAAGCTAACATTCGAATCGACAACCAATCCTAATGGTGTGCTTTAACTGACGATTCTGCTACGGTGCTTGCTAAACTAGGGACATGTTTCTTTGCCACTTTCAGGGAGGTGGAAGGTGCGGCCCGGGCCCCACACAGGAGCACAAACTGTAGGTGGTGCTGCGTGACCAAAAGGCAAATATACTAGCTGTATTTTAAGAGTATTTTTATTTTGACTTTCGCAAATAGTACACTGGCAGTATCATAAACAAAATGAGCGACTTAACTGATTAAACACAAGTTACCACCCCAGCCAGCTCACAAAGGTGTCTACAATAGCAGCAGATCTGCGAGAGGATTAGCCCAACTTCGCCATGTATAGTCAGCCAGTGGAGGGGCTTACGCTTTGACAACGGGCCCAAGCAAGACGCCGCCCAGCAGGTCGATCGGACCGCCTACCTCTATCGGCTTCGACACGGTGCTTCCGTGGGTGATCGTCGAGGCAAATTGTAAATGCGCAGCGGTGACATGGTTCATATAGTCTCGTGAGTCTCCGAGGCCGTTGTTTCCTATTGCTGTTAGTGCTGAAGCCGAGAGCACACTGATGCGACGAATGGAAAACGAAATGAGGATAGAAAGCACGTACCGACAGTATCCAACCTAAAAGTCAGATCATGCAGATTATACATGACCGTCTCGGTCTCGTGACTCTGCGGTTTGAGCGTCCTCATCCCCTCCCACACGGGCTCCGTCAGCGCACATGTACTAAGCACAAGCCCCAGCCCGGACCTGGCCGTGCCCCCGCCGAAGCTCGGGAACGGGACTTTCAGATACAACCGGTCAACGGGGACATCCGCGGGCCGGACCCTCTGGCGTCGCCCGTAGCAATCCTGCGTGTAGTCGCGGTATCCACCCGGCTGGTCGGAGAACTGCCAGCAGAGCCGGATCTCCTCGCCGGATTTGAGTTGCTCGGTGGTGGCGCCTTGGGCTTTGATGATCCGCCAGTAGGAAGGTTCGTCGGTGGAGGAGATAGCGGGGAGGAAGACGCCCTGGGCGTTGCGGTAGACGGTGAGCACGCAGCGCTTTGTCGCGGAGGTGTCGTTATTTTGCGAGCTTATGCAGACGAGGGAGTCGTGGCCGATCTGGGCGGGTTAGTGTGCTTCTATTGTTCTTTGGAGTGCTCTGTGGGAGGAGATTAATCTTACGCTTTCGCCGTGCGGAATTTCCAGGCTCCAGAGGGTATGCTTGAGGTATTCGTCTTGGATTGTTCCGACTTTATCCCACGACGTTGGCTCATTGGGGCCTTGCGCCTTTGGTGGCTCGGGGTCTCCATTCGCATCTAGCGGTTGGTATTCGGTTGGTTGGAAAAGGACTGGCGCTTGCGTGCTGTATGACATTACTTACAGGCCTCAACTTCTTGACTGGCTCAACAAGTTACTTACCCTGACGGAAAGAAGATGGCGTCCTTGGAGACGAGCTTGGATTCGACACAGAATGTGGTCATGTCCACCACCATTCGCGCGTTTGAAGGATCAAACCTAACACTTTCCTTGATTTGTGCACCGGTTCTGCTACTGGTTATGGCTGTTTTTCGGGGGACCGGAGGGTGTAGAGGGTCATGCCCTAGATAAGCCGGAATCTGCGGAGATCTATGATCAATAATCTGAGACTGGGTGTCTCGGACTTCCTCTCACGTACCTCGCTGCCGACAATTTTGGCCATGGTAGGCGTGTTGGCTGCTAGTTTGAATCGCACGTCCAGTGTACGCGAGTCAGGAACAACGAGGTACTCAGACAATTTCGGGACAGCCTGCATGAACCACTGTTTTACCTGTGTACAGCTTGGATGCTGGGCGATGACATCGACCATGGATACGAGCTCCGATTGCTGTGGCAGGGTTAGAGCGGAACACAGCCAGGTTTCAAAAGAGGAGACATACATCAATAACTCGCCAGTTGTTGAAGTCTCCCACTGATGCGCACCACTCAGAAGGACTAGAAGAAATATGTATTAGAAGAGGACATTCCGTGATGATGAAGCAAGGGAAGGGAAAGACAGACTTGGACGCCAAAAGAGTATTTCCGCCGGTAGCCTCAAACGACATAGTCTCCCTCTGATTGAGATTCGACTGGACGTGTTCTTTACCGTCTTGCGTCTCGTGGGATGCTTTGACGCTTCCACCTACACCGAAGGCCTGCAAAGCATTAACGATGGCTCCGTTCTCAGCAGAGGCTAATAGAAAACATACCGTCTGCACCGCCACCCCAACCTCAGCCTTAAACTCGTCCTTGGACTTTTCTTCCGTAGATTTTTCCTTTGCGTCGGTGACTTTTGTGGTCTGTAGGCAGCCGCCCAGGACAGCCTGTTGGACGAACAAGTGTCCTACCGCCGTTAGGGTTAGAAAGGTAAATGCAGGTGGTAAAGAGCGCTTACCAAAATCGGCACGCAACTTGCGCAAATCATTGATCTGATTGCTGTGTCAGAAGGTAAGTGAAGAATCAGCAAGCGGTAAGACTCACGTTTTTAGTTTTCTGTATCCGTTTGATAGCATTTTTCAGCTCTTCCGTCGGCTCGAGATTGTCAGGATGGAGAAACACAGTGACGCGAGGAAACTGCCGATAATACAAGCTTAGATGCAGCTCTTTCAGTTATCAAATTGCTCGCGACATACCTTATAGCTGGCCAGCATCCGTTTTTGCGTCGCCTTCTCAGTCTGTTTCTGACTATCGGATGAAGAGGACGCCACGCCTGCCGTGACGCCTACCGAGTTCCCAGCCCAGCCCCCAGATCTAGCTGGTCAGCGCTCCATAGATAAACGAAATAAAAAATCATTACTCACACACCAACCTCAAGTGAGGATTTGCTGAAGTGATTCGTGGCCATCGACTCCTGGAACTGGTGCACGACACTGACTACTTCGATCTTGGACCGGTCGTTGATCTGGAACGACGGAATCGCACCGACCTTGGCTGGGAGCTCCTCTGATATCTCCTTTGCAGAGGTTACCGGGGGTTCACTTGGTGGCAGCTGTTCTTGCGCCGGGGTTTGGTCAGCGGGCAGCGGCGGGTTTTCTTCGTCCTGATCCTGGTTGTTCGGCTCGGCCTTATCGTCACCTGAGGCAGCTCTATCTCCAGCCTCCACCGCTCGCGGCTGGATCTTCGCAGGAGCCGGCGGAACCGGGGGCAGATTCAAGCCCTGCCTCAACTGAAAGGCTGCCTTGGGGGCCTTCTCCAGAACATTCTTCGCGAAATCGATGCGCCAGCCGTACATCAAGTTGCAGTTCCGGAGAACCGAGGCCCAGTCGCGCTCGGTCATTGCGCTCGTATACGTCTTGACGCTGGCGCCGGAGACGGCGAACTTGGCTGCATCCAGCTCCTCTTGAATTGCCAACGCCTCCCTGTCGGCCTTGAGCTCCTCGGCGCTTCGGTCGGTGAAGGAGAGGTCCGGTCGCAGCTTCTCCATGGCGGCTTTCACCTCCTCAGAGGCGCCGTGGAAGCGCGGCTTCTCCGGTCGCGCAGTGCTGTGGTAGAGGATGGGGATTATCGGGGTTCGCTCGCGGACTACTTGGACGTCTGTCATTTCCAGATACTCGGTCAAGGAAACCCCTTCGCCAACGGGCGTCCCGTCTGCGATGCAGAATTGGTCGATTTCGGGGTTTACGGACCTGTCGTGCATTAGATCATTTCAACTACTACGTAGGAGGTGCAATCGTGGAGAGAGACACGTACATGTCTTTGATCAATTTCCGCACCTCGCCCATCACGAGCGCAGACGGATTCTTATCCTTCATGGATCCAGAATGCAGAGTGCCAACCGTCTTCTCAGTCCCGTTCTCAATGCGAATGAACTTCAACGTAAAGGGCGGTTTGGTCAGCACCGACGTCAAGGGCTCAGCTGGTGCAGCGTCGCCCGTGATGTACAGCTTGAAGGAAATATCCTAGATTGGACCATCGTCAGATAACCATCGTCAAGTCGGTAAGTCTCCAGTGGAACAACAACACACATCCATAGCGGGTCGCTTCGCGAGCGACGTAAAATAGTCATTAATACAACTGTCGTCGGCAACGACCGCGCCGACTTCATTGCAGAAGCGGAATTCTCCTTGTCTGGATTCATCAGCCGGTTCTATTCGATTCTGGTACATCGCACTGATCCTCGTCCTTACATCTTGCTCTTGACCTTCAATGCTGAACGGATCTGGGCCAGAGTTGTCTCAAGTCGGAAGGACACCACGTCCGTTCTAAAACAATGCAGTGTCAGCTGAATTTCTCCCTTTGAGAGAAACCCTGTGGGTAATTACGCTTTCATCATAATCGAGGCAACACCTGTCGCAGCAGTTGCCGCCGCGGGTGAGTTGGGAACCGCAACGTCGATCGGTTGGGAGGACTTGTCCTCCTTCGCAGGCTGTCCACTGTTCAGTTGCTCTGGGAGTCGAAAAACCGTAACGGTGAATGTCTGGACCCGGGAGACTGCGCTTTGAAACTTCTTGAAGGGCGCCCTGTTTGTCGCTGCATCGGTGCTTGCACCTGCGGGGGCGGCGGCAGGAGTGGGCATTTTAATCGCTGCTGCGGCTTTCACAAAGGCTGATGTAGCGGGTGTATAGCTATTTGTCCTAATCAGTGACGCTGCGTTGAGATAGATGGTATGTATGGAAGAGACGTACCCTGTAGGCTGTGCGGTGCCCTTGGAGTCTGCCATGGCTTGAGATTTTCTGAGAATTGGCTATGTCACTGAGGCTTACTTGGGATCTGAGAGCCTTTTACGATTGTGTACAAACTTGATTATTATCTTGTACAGGTTCTTGAATTATCTCCCTAGTGTCGCTAAAAAGTGCCTGAAATGTGAACCCTCAGAGACGCAGGATGTGACGGCTGTATTGAAGTTGTGCAAAAATACGCCAAACCGGCGGAATTCAGAATTGTGGCTTGGGCCCATGCTGGCTGCCGCATGACTAGATACGCGTATTTCGCAATATCCATCAAATTTGCAGAATACAAAACGAAGTCGCTATCCTGCAGGAGCAGCTGAACAGTGGAGATATGGAGAGACACCATAGATTATCACGAGGAAAGCTCCAGGTATTCTGGTCATTCTTGCCGAGAGTGTAGTTCGCGCCAGAGAATCTAGACCGAGCGTCGAGCAAGAGACAGTATACATATAGGTCAAGAAACTGCCTACCTGTCTACCTGCCTACCAATCGGTCCGTCCCTTTCTCCAACACACATCCACCCGCCAAAATGGTCGGCCTACTCCTCGTCCCGTACAATGACAGCATGCGCCTCGGCCAGGGGTACGACTCGTTTCTCCAGGAGGCGCGCGCGGACGGCGCAGTGACCTTTGGCAAGGAGCGCATCTCGCAAACAAGCATCGACCACACGGCGCCCGTGTCGCAGGTCGTCAGCTACTCGTCGCGGTTCGTCGAGAAGCTCTCGGATATCACGCAGTCGATGAATATCTCGGCGGGCAGTTCGATCAAGAGCGGGACGATCGAGGTTTCGGGGAGTTCGCTCACCGTTGATGAGGCCAAGTTCTCCTCGTCTGATATCAATGCCGTTGTCTCGGTTAAGGTGATCAATCGTGAGTGTGCTTGACTTCCTGGGGACTGGTTGGGAAGAGGGCTGGCTAACCGCTGCTTTGCTGGTAGAGACGACGACGATTGTTGATTCGGCCAAATTGTAATCCTGCGTTCCAATTGCGATTGTAAATCTCAAGCTAATCCAGCCTCTGCAGTAACCAGAATGTGTGCAAGTTCGAGAAAATGGACTCGGAAATCTTCCACGATTATTACGGAGACGCATTTATCTCTGGTCAGCTTCCCTGACGGACGAATCTCCAACAATACTAACAACCACAGGCTTCGTCGAAGGAGGCGAACTGCACGGCATCGTCTCAGTCCGAGCGCTAGACCGCAGCAAAAAAAGCAGCATCGAGTCCGCCCTCAAGAGCGCCTTAAACAGCGCAACCGACAACAAAGACTTTACCCTCTCAGCATCCGGCGTCGCGGGGGGTGTGGATTCGGCGCTGAGCGCATCCGAAACCACCATCTCAGTCAACTGGATGGGCGGCGGGCAGGTCAAAAACGAGCACGATGAATGGTCGCTGCAGGAGCTCTTCAAGGCCGCCGCCGCATTCCCTGCGCGTGTGAGCAAAACACCCAAACGCACGCATGCCATCCTAACCAAGTACGATAATAACCTCAGCTTCCTGGCCTGGGCGCAGCCGCGCCAGATCAAGATCCCGCAGTATGATGCCTCGTATGCGTATGCGCGCGAGTTGTTGGATATGTATATGACGTACAAGGCGCATATGACGCTCATACAGGCTGCGCTGGCGGCGCCGGAGAAGTATCAGAGGAGTGAGGCTGTGGATGCGGTGGATGTTTCGATCCGCGGGCTGGCGACGACGCGGAAGATGATTAGGGCTGAGATGTCGACTATTGTGGAGGATATTGATAAATTGTGAGTTCAATCTTCTCTCTGTCTCTTGACGGTGGCGGCGTGCTGAACTATTTCTTCAGGGATAAACACCCTGAGTTGGCTAAAGCGATAGAGGCTGAGTCTCGAGTAACGGCGCCAGAGCTCTGGGCCGTTCGGCTGCCAGTGAGTTTTCCGCCACACTCTGCAGCCCTTACATTGATATCATTTTAACCCGCCGGGACAGGTCAAAATCTCCAACGGTTTTGGAACAAGTGATGCAGAAGCGGTGCAAATGATCGAGAATGGGCTTCTGCAATTCTCATTTGAGAACGGTCCCCCAGTCGAAGAGCCCGCAGCCCCCAAACCAGATCCCATCCGACAGGCCCTAGAGGAGACAATGGCATCCACGCAGGCTGAATGCGTCAAGCTTGCAGAAAAAGTCGCCGAGACGCAACGGGCTCTCGAAATCACGCAGGCCGAGCTTGCACGTACGCAGGAGCAGCTCGAGTCGTCCCGCAAGGCTCAGGAGGCAGCGACTGTCGACCACCGCGTCGCGCTGGAAGCTGCACAGCGAGACGTCGAGGCGTCCAAGACCGATACCGTCCGCGTGCAGACTGCGCTCAGTCGGCTTGAGAGTTATGTCAGTTACCCAGCCAACAGTGCCGTTTGCATTCTCTCGGTCGTTTATGGTTCGCGTTTTTACGATAATAAGCAGTCGGTGATTGACCGGTTGCGGTACCTGATTGAGCGGCATGAGGAATTCAAGATCACGAACGATGTTTGCGAGGATGACCCGCTGTACGGTACTCGCAAGATGTTGGTGGTGGTGTATCGGTTCACCGAGAGCTCGCGGGTCGGACGCATACGAGTTCTTGCCGGGTGGGAGGGTGACTCTGCCCGGTTTGATGCGCTGGATTCGACATAGTGATCATCCACCGTTGGATACGTCGCCATCTAGTTGTATATGCCGTGCTAATAAGGCCATGTGAGACAAAGTTCACCTGCATAAGACTTGATTGCTTACCTGTGTCCCTGTTCTCCTTATCTGTCACCATACTAACTAGCGATTGAAGTGTGATCCATAGATAGACTGGCTAGCTTTTACGGAGACATAATTCGGAAAACCAACCGGAAGAGGGGCACTGGCTTGAATTCGTAGCTTCTTTAATTCACTTAAAATAACGGCCATTAAATTGAGCGCGAACACCGAGGAAACAGAAGGTAAAGCCCCCAACCGGTTTCTGTGGTATCTCCCATATAGATGGCGCATTTCACAACTTCTACTGGTCAGTCTCATAGTAGCGGGAGCGCCTGTTCGTGCTTGGCGCACTATAATCCTCCATTGTTTCAGGGAACGATGTACCGAAATTCGCCTGTGACCTTAACCAGAGATCTTATATGTCTATGTGACTGCGGACGGAAGGGTTACATGAGTCTTAGAAATTAAAGTAGCTCATTTAACTGACAGACGAGCGCGGTAGGTTACCTATCGAATGTGGCTAGGCTTAGAAAAACTGAAGCCAATCAACTACCAACAAATCCATCAATTCGCAAAACAAGAAGGCAGATGTTGGAAGAGGTAATATATCTCGTTTACTGTGTATTTTGGGGCGGGCGGTTCGTAGGGGAATTACGTTATTAGGTGCGGGTATAGACTAGGAGCCGCAGGAAGGTGTCAATCCCTTGCCCCACAGACCCTACACCCCGCGCAACATCATACGGACATCTCCTAGAGTGGCAGAGCATCCTACTTAGGTAGCAATACGATTTCAGGCGCTTTCATTTATTTTCGTTCCCAGAAATTACCTGGGACTATAATCGGCTAGACAACTTTTGAATAGGGTTATAGTATAGAGTTAGTGGAGCCATTTTTGAATATCTTCGATAGCTAGTAAGAATCTACCCTCCTGCCCTAGCGAATTCTCAATTTTGAGCGCATTTTGGTGGCTTGGTGGGTGTTTAAAGGAGGGTGGTGGTAGATAAGCATTTCGGTGCCTTTCCGTCCACTCACTTAGCAGTTACGTTGGTAAATTATCATTACTATTTAGATGAACTAGTGGAATACTACAGCTACTAGTGCGGAGAAATCCACTATTTATTTTTCGGTTAGGTATGTAGATCATGTACTGGGAATTTATGAAGTAGGTCAACTGTAAGGGGGAATATACGGTGAGAGGGGGGAGATGAAGTATAAAAGCTGTATTTCCATTCTCATTTTTCTTACTGTGGTATCTTTTACAACTATCAATTTAACCTATTGGACCGCCTATAAAGATTAGCACTCGCCTGGCTGTTAAAATGCAGTTCTTCTTTATTTTTACTTCTATATTAGCTGCCACTGCTACTACAGCTTTCCCAATTCATGATACCTTACGAAATGGGATAGCTGTCCGACAAGATAGTTGTTCTGGAGCTCAATCTTCAGTTGCCGCTGCTCGAAAACAACTGTCCTCTGATATAGTAACTTTTGAGAAAAATCCAACTGCTTCACTTCAAGCCCAAGTTGCTAGAGACCGGCAGCAACTTGCGCTTGCCCAAAAGCTGCTCTCAGACTGCCAAAGAGGTGGAGGTGAGTGGTCCCTACTATTCAAATTATAATCTACATACAGAACTAAATAAAGTAGATTGAATCGGACAATCAAGGTTTTCAGGTCCTTAACTCTACTATCCCACGGGTGTCGGAGACCTAGAGTCAGGTGGAATCAGGGCTTATACTTATTTGTATGAAGTTAGGCTTATTGTGTGGATAGATATAGGAATTCTGAATAAGGTGACAACAGAGATGAATGCAAAGGATTGTATCTAGGTTATTTAAGTGGATTGTAGCAGGGTCTCTCTTCCTCTGTTACTGCCTGAGTCCTGCTCAATCTTGATGCTGTCGAAGACCTAACTGTCTAGCAACTTGCTTCTGAGCTTCATCTTCTCTTTAGCATTCCTATGTTAATTATAGCCAATCTGCCATCAAAGGTTGTTGTTAGTGGTAACCATAACAGCCTAGGCATCATCTGTTTCATCACCGTCGTCAACTGTTGGGAGTTGATATCTTCTTAGTCTGGGAAGACCGACGGATTTCGGCATCGCCAGGCTTCGCGAAGTAGTATTCCTTTCTAGGTTTGGGGGGAACAACTTCTTCGCTTGTAAGATACTTAGAGGTATCATTCGCTTTCGCCGCACGCTCAAACTCGCGCTTCCAGCTAATAAAGTTGATTTTGACTTTGCGCTTGCGGTTGGCTTTGACTTTGTCCATTTTGGAGTTTGTCATGTCTGCTGTTGAGGATTAATGTCTCGGTCTGGCGTCTGGTGTCTGGTGTCTTGATCTGATCACCTGCTTCAATCCAAAGTCTAGTCTGGAAAAAAGAGGCTCATAACCAGTTGAGACCCTGGATTGAGATACAAGTGTGATAATCATTCTCCCACTATGTGAGTAGGCGCAGCTATTTGTAGTCACAGTAGCTCCCTTCTGCCTAGAGTAGTGGTGGTGGTAGCCTAACATCTATACATCACCTAATCTGGGATCCAACTCAGAGCGAGGGGTCAGCGTAAATGAAATCATCCATCCATCCTACTGTACGCCCCTCAAACCCGGCTCATTATAGTCGCGCCAAGAGGGCAACCTCACACCACGAACGACAAACAGGGCACGACATGCCTTCTCAGGTGAGGTTCAAAGTTCACCATTTAGGAAGTGGAACAAACACAGTGGACTTATCTAACTGGGGCTGCAGCAGCCAAACATGAAAAGGTGGGTGCTATAATATAATATAAGCTTATTACATTAATTAATATGATGTCATGTGACTAATAGGTGGTGTCTAATTTGGACGAGACTTCGCGAGGGCTGTGCAGCTTAGTTGAAAAGCCTGAGCATCCAGCGGGCCCTGCCCGCTACACTGCATACACATGTAAGTACAGGCAAGGCCAAAACAACTGCTGATGTAACTAGTGTCATTGAGGCAACCCAGGTGGGGTCCCGGGGTCCTCATTCCCAACCTCGGGCTGTCTATCCCCCGTCCACTCTACTACGGCCAACGAGTCTCAGGTAAGACAACTGAACCACAAACCATACCTACTGCTTACTACTCTCCAAATCTATTGCTGAACATACATTGCACATTCATCGTCAGCTAATCACATACTGGGTTGATAAGACAATGGATTCGGACTCTGAATCATACGAAAAAACAGGCGGGAACCCCTCAAAGAACATCCTTGAGCCCGCCGTCCTCTTTTTATCAGGCCAATCTGTTCTGACTGAGGCTGCAACTCCAACGCCGCTTTATCAATTGAAGAGTGACATCATGTCAATCCCAAACAAGGACTCGTCTGTGACACTTGAAAGGGTCGAGCATGATGTGCTTGAGCTCAAGAATGAGATCGAAGGCGCCACTGCTGGCACGCCGCAAAAACAACATCTTTTCTACCTCGCACACCCTGTGAATGCGCAGTACCGTACCGATATACCTGCTAGATACTACATTACTTCTGCAGCCCCAGAGACGGTGGGTAATATTCGCCTCAAGACTTCTGAGGCACGGTTTCAAAGGACGTCCTTCAAAGCCATGTTAAGCCCCAAAAAAACCGCCTCGGATAAGCCATTGTTCGACGACGGCACGCAACAAATCCTATTGTTTGATATCCAGTCAGATTGGAATGTCGGTCGCAATTGGTATAGGTGGAGCGACTGCAATGGCAGACAGGTCGCTATTGAAGGAAAAGAGAATGACAGATATAAATTATCCGTTACGAGGAGTTTGCCGCAGGAGTTAAGGGATGCACTGGTTGCTACATGGCTGTTAAGGTTGTGGCATGACACGGCCGAGAGTAAACAAGCTAAAAGGGAATGTGAGTTACTCCGGAATCCTTCTAGGAGGTGCTTTATCTTGGCTAACTTCTCTTCCAGTCTTTGAAAGCATGACATCACCAGAAGCGTATCAAGAAAGCATGAAGCCATATGGGCCAAGGCAGTGCATAATCATGTGAGATTAGTTAGGTAGTAACTGTGCCTGCCGACTACATGTTCAGCTCCTTGTTGGAGCTCTGCAATTCCTGTAGCTGCTCATCTGTCCACGACGGAAAGGCCAGCGTGTGTAGGGTCTTGTCGCTGTCTCGCGCATGCAATGTACAGTTGCACCAATATTCGTGCGTTGATTTGAGAATTATGAATTCTTCCTGTGCTGTTTGCCTCGTTCCTCTTACTATCATAATTATTATAATATACTTGCGAGACAGTCGCTATTGAATGTGCACTCTCATGTGTGCACGGGGCTGTGGTCACCTTTTAAGAGCCCCATCACCCGCTATGGCCAAGTAGCCTCTTTAATATGCTGGGTACATGAAGTGGAGCGCTTTTTTGCCTAGTAATCAAAGCCCCCATTTTCCTGAGAATCTGGAGCTTTATGTAGGATCCTAATGCAATTTGGGGCAATGCAGCACTTGGCTTATATCAAGCAACTGCTTCAATCCACATCCACGACTGTTGACAGGTCATGCTTCAGCTGCTATTTCCTCATAATCAAATCCAGGATGGCATATACACGGCAGTGCCAAGAGCCAGATGAAGTGTTGTTGCGGGGATGCGGATAAAAGTGTCTCAGACAATGATCCACTGGTAAAATTACCTTTTCGGAGGTTTTGTTGAAAGCCTTTCTATTTGATAAATCATTGGGCCAAGAAGAGTTCCCGTGCGTATGGAGTATATGGCCTCGGGAACAGCGATCTACATATCGTCCTGAGGTTCCACAACACCAATCAATGCTCCGACTCGGTACTTGACCCACTGAAAACATTAATATCGTGCACCCGGAGAGTGGCGCAGTTACTACAGACTACGTCATGTAAACAGAGGATACTCCGTAAAAATAGCTACGTGCCAGAGTCCATGAATTGTCCCGCTTCTTGGATTTCTCTTCTCAAACTTTCCACAAGTCACACCATGGCCCAACACCAGGGAAAGGAGGCCCCGCCCGACTATGACGAGGCATGGTGATGAAACCATCTCGCTATGGGTCGTTTCCGTCAACCATGAATGTATATGGCCAGTGGACAGAATAGAAATCTATGAATCTCTGTGGCACGAGTGCCAAGGAACGTCTGTGTCTGATTAAGATGCGAACTGGCTATTAGCGGCAAACCTCCGCTTGGGATGAGACCTGGATTCATCTCCGCAATGGGATGAGCACCAAAGATCCAATTTTATCATGGCTCAGCTCATTTGACCGAAAGAGCTGACTTTTCAATATCTCAGGGTCATGAAATACCAGCATGCGGTAACTGGCTGGGTGGCTGTAATGGACTGACCCCAGACTCGCTTTGCTTGGACGGACAACATCGCTCATGGTTGAAAGGAGACACAGAAATGTCTACTTATTTCAGCATTCAGTAAAATTGCACTCGTGCGGGAAATCAGAGGTTAATCAGAAGTTCACACAAGTTGAGTATCAGTCACTGTTGCAAACAATGCAGAAGGAGAATAATTCCTGGGGGCCTTGCAATCGGGTACATCCATGTGTTATGTAAATATAGTCTGCTCTTGTAATCCTGTGATTGACATTCGAACCGGAAGCTTGAGTTCATGGGCTGTGCATCTTGCAACAGCTTGATCCCTTGGTGAGCTGACGTGCATTCTCTATAGTTGATTCTGAACAACCAGATTTCCTGTAGTACCTGCAATGCTAGAGCTCTGTTGATCATTTCTACTACAAACAACAGGTTGTTGAACAAAGGTTACTAACTAAACTTTCAAGCATACGACACCACTCAGTAATTTGAGATCATATTAAAAATTTCTCCGTAGTTCGATTAAGCGCAAGTGGCGAGAAGTAGCACACCTCTTAAGACAAGATGGCTTCCGCATCCGGAATGCTAGCCACTGGAGTCAAGTTGATATAAATGAGGCGAATTTTGCCTGGATGACCTAGGTGTGATATAAGCTTAACTTGCGGATAATCCATAAATAAACTCTTTATTCTGCTGCCCGTTCTCTAAAAAAGCATCGCATGATAGGTAAACCCTACATGAGGTCATTTCTAATGTAGCATTCCACACGGAGTAGACCAGCGGTACTTCCATCCACTGGTTCGTTTGCCGAACGCAACGGATTGAGTGACGAGTAGATACAGAATGATCTGTCTAGCCTTCGCTTATTCTAGATCTGAGAGACGTTTCCATGACGGCTAGTACTTCAACTTTTAGATGCATATTACTATTCCAGCTAAATGAAAGGAAATTATTACAGAAAATGACGCAACTCCAGAACGGAGCCTTATTTAAACGGCCACTTAGGGCATGAAGTAACTAACAACTCTTACATAGTATTATACCGTTTATTAAACAGTTCCAACGGCAGAATGAAGCTTTCTTATATCCTCTTAGCCAGCCCCCTCTGTGTGATGGGGCTGCCATATCCCTTTTACTCCAATGATCCCTTTGTTCCTGTGCCTCTCCCACCACCAGATAACTGGACTCCAAGCTCAAAGCTGTTTCCGTCAAATGTGATTAGTGGCTACAGTACTGACTACGATAAATATACAGCGGATACCTGGGCGGAGTATATCAAAGAGCAGTGCAAGCAGTTTGATGCTTGCACATCCACTTTCTCCTTCGCTGGTAGGGAAAACTATGCCAAATCTGAGGTTCAATAATATATACTTACCTGTGGTTAGCAATTAACAGTGGTGATAAACCGAAATGCCTTTTCTGGTTTGGGTACTGCTTCCGCGGAGGTCATACCACTCCAAACGACTATAAAAGAAGCACCGACCATCAGAGCGCAGTCCAAGGCTCCAGGGCTTTCACAATCCCAGGCAATGATGGAGACAAGTCTTCACTGAGGGTGCAGACACAGGCTATAGAGTAAGTGGTAATGACTAACTGCAATAAATTTCCGTATAATCAAACTAAAAACCCGTACAGAGAGATGATCAACGGTTGTCAGTAGCATTCGTCCCAAGGGACTCTTGCAGTTAATATACATTTCGATATGCTAGGCCCTGGCTTATTTGGTCTCTTACAATACAACTTTGCCCTATTTTGAGATGCAAAGGCAGGGATTTATATTTTAGTCAACTGTCAGTTACTTCTGGTACTGCAGTAGAGCTTTTTTACTCTCCGTTAGTGCTTTTGTTATGCTGCCACCTGGTTGCTCAACCTCCTGGGGCAGGGTGTGGGGATATAACATCCCTCACCATCCTTATTCTAATGTTTTGCTATGTAACTTATTAGTGTTAGCAACTCTATTTTAACACCTTGTAGTTGCCGTATATCTTCCTGATCTGGTGTTCACACTGAATATGGCTTCAGGGGCTTCCCTCTGCGACCCCTGACCTAACCTACTTTGAAGCAGTGTACCTTTCTGGAACAGTTCAAAGCTGGACTGAGTAAGGACGATTTGGACCGTTGTGCCCACCTGCGACCTTGGCGGCAAAATGCCTGTCGCACCTCAAATAAGGAAGATCAAAAGTCGGAAAGTATAAGAACAAAAAGGGAAAAGGTCTTAACACGAAGAGGAACACCGCGGCCTTCGAGCCTGGCAGAGATAATCATGGAGTCGGAGGCATGGAAAAATGAAAACAAAAAGATGGACTCGCGGGGAATCGAACCCCGGACCACCCCCATGCTAAGGGGGTATTATACCACTAAACCACAAGCCCAATTGTTGAGTTACCGTGCGCGTTATTTGCAATACTAGAAAAACACGCAAGTCCATATAACTCGGCTCCTCTCTGTTTTCTGGTTTCACCAGATGTTCGCCCACATTAATTCTGTATAAAACAACAAAAAATGTGTGAACATTGCAACATACTCAATGGGAGTTATCCTGCCACAAGTCATTTCAGAAGTGTGTCACCATTTCGAGCGAAGCTGACAGTGCTCTGCTGACGGATAGCCATGACAATATATTAACTATCCATTCTAGTTTTGGACAGTGGCCCCTTCAATACTTTAGCGCTTTATGAAGCCAAAAATATCATACCCAATAATCGTTTTCTTCGTTGGAACCATGGATGGTTCGATTGATTCCCAAAACACGAGCACCGTGCACCAAGAGCAAGTTGGTGAGCTCGGGGTTTTTCGAGCACATGGCGATCCGCAGTGCTGTAGCACCATCAGGCCCAGCAGCATCCGCACCATAATCAAGAAGAAGACGAGTCATAGCCACCAGTTCATCTCTAACAACTTGCGGATATGGGACTACTAGGTGACTGGAGTCTCGGGGACGCTGGTAGCGCCGAGTGCCCTGTCGTAACCAGATCCCTTCACTTGGCTTTGCAGCTCGCGAGAGGGTTCCTATGTAATCGCAGTCCACCATCTTTGGATCGGCCCCAGCTTGCAGGAGAGTTTTCGCGGTGGAGTAATGATCGTTGATCACTGCGCTATCTAGCGAAGTTGTGCCATCCCACCGGAAATTCACATCAGCACCCTCTGCCAACAGCAAATGAATTAGCTCGTCGTTGCCATGGTGGGCAGCGACCCAGAGTGCGTGTCCGAGCTCTTGAAGCAGCCGGGCAGGGTCAAGAAGTTGTCGATGCTCAGCATCCCGCAGCAGGAGCTTAAGTATCTCTGGACAGCCACGGCGCACCGCGGCAACCAGAGCTGATTCAATTTTACGGGTATCCCAGGGATTTACGCCTTTCTGCAGGAAAAATTGCAAAATAGGCATATGACCGTACCATATAGCTCGATTCAGCGGCAACTCGTAATCTTCCTCCTTTAACCTCTCGCTCATGCCACCTCGATCCAGAAGGAGCTCGACAATGTTTAAATGACCGTTCCATATCGCAGTTATAAGCGGATGGTGAGTAAGTGTGTGTGTTTGATCTGGATACCAGATCGGGGATGCATAAAGATCAACCCCTGCATCCAGTAGGTTGATGAGGGTAGATGAATACCCTCCCTGGGCTGCCCAGTGCAGAGCGGGAATCTTCGGGTGCTCATGGTATTGATATAAGAAGGGATTGAGCAAGGAGTAGAGATGGCGGCTG